AAACCCACCCACCCCATGTAAGCACAACTTATTCCCACTATTTCTGACAGAATTCACATTCAGTAGGCAAACTGCATGCTCCGAAACCCCACAGCCCTGCAAAAGCAAACAGACATTTCCTCCCTGGAAGGATTTTGCATGTAAAAGCCAACGTGGAAACACACAGGCTTCAGCTGTGGGACGTATACCATGGCTCTCCTAGCATAGCAAAGGGGTGGCCACAAACTGGAGTTCTGTCCATCCGTTCATCATACCTCAGAATCATCTATGGTCATTTCTCAAAGTCTTACAGCCAGGCCATGCACTAATCTGCATTCATACATTAAACATTACCAAAACAACAAATCCATACTGGTCTATGGCTGGAGAACTGCAGGCACAATTATGCTCTCCTTATGGAAAAGCAAAATACATCACAGGGCATCATACCACAAGAAGTCCCTTGAGAAGTCGCCGTATTGTGAGGGAACAAGGAGACATCCTTCAAGCATGGCACTGCTTTTTATTTGAGTCTACCTCTTTACTTCGGTGACTCCCACCCATACCACCTGTACTGCTGAAAAGGATTTACCCCAAGGAAAACATCCCTCGCCAACCCAACCACCCTCAAAGCAATCTCCCTCCTCATCATCAAGAAGGAGAGAAAAAAAGCGCTAAACAAGAAACATCAAAACTTTTGTTTTCATCAGAGAAACTGCAAAATGACAGCAGTTTCAGGTTACACCCTAAACCTGCCTTGCTATAGTAGTTTCTCAATTTAAAATATCTTTTGTGGCCTCAGCTACTCTCGAGCTGTCCATAGGCAAGAAAGAAAGGAGGCAGGGCAACACTTAAGCTCAGCCATAATTGGAAGTATGTGAAAAATGAAGTGTCAGTTCGGTCAATAAAGGGCAAAGGTGAAGGGGAACTGCAGCCCAAACTCAGTGCGAAATGTGCTCATTAAGATACCCAATCCACAGGCTCCTGCCCACCTATCCCATTAGTCATCAGCCATCTGACCGCTTCAAATGCCTTGCCTCCCCGCTCTTATTACTTTTCTTCTCCCATGTCAAAAAAAAAAAAAAAAGGCAAGCTGGTATATAAATCCTTGCTCAGTCATCTGGAACATAATGTGGCCCTTCTCTCCCCCTCCGCCTGGCTCTGTCGCCTGCCTTCACAGCCTCCAAACAACTGCCTTGAGATTCCCAGCAATAATAAACACGATTGCCTTTTTGCCTATAGGTTGCCCGAACTCCTACAAAATCCTGAAAAAAAAACCCCACATTGCAGCCATTGATAATTTTTTATGAAGAAATATCGCTGCTTTATGCTCCTGGCTTAAAAAAGCAATAATTATTTGGAGGTTAAAAAAATGTTTTGAACTCAGGCTGAGGCTTGCACAAAAAAAAATGGGAGAGAAACAATACACACAAATAGATGACACTGATAGATTTATTTTCTTTTTCTTTTAAGCCATGTAGGAGAGCTAAACATGGGAATTAAAGAACCCCACTCTGGATTAACAGTGACTGTACCAGAGCTTTGTTCAGCATCCTCCTGGCCTGACTATTTGAAAATCAAACAAAATAGATCTGTTAACACCCCAAACAGGACTCTTTTAAAGTTAGAATATGCAGTAAGATAAAATAGCATTGCTCTGGGTTCAGCATCACCTGCCTGTACCGATGAACTTGCTTCTCTCTTTTTTTTTTTTCAATAGAATTGAGCAAGTTTCTTCTCCACTGTGTAAATTCAGATCTCTTTGCACCATTTGGAGATAGACATCCAATGGCCCTTCACAATAAGTTGAGAGCGATGGGAAAACAGCCCACAAAACTTTTTCATAATATTATTCTGCATTCCTGTACTATAACTATCCCTTACGACGACACAATATTGGGCCTTTATAAAAGGTTGTGTCAATGTGCTATGCAATAACATATCCTGCTGTTCAGTGGCACGAGAAGAAGAGCTCAGAAGAGCTCCCTAGCAGTTAAAGATGGATTTCTACTATAGATTGAAGCGGCTGGGAGTCATTACTATTTACTAAGTAAATAAATTTACATGCTAAAAATACTTCAAAATTTTTAGAAGAAAGTATCTCTACTGTTTTCAAAGGTAATTGCTCAACATGTGTTGTGCATAGGGACATAAATAGGTTAAAAAGGCACTTTGTGGGGACTAAAGGCAGTGAGGAATCAGGGAAAGAAGAAAAATATTCAAAAAGTCCAAAAACAGACCTTAACATAGTCTGGGTTCAGGACAAAGGGAGAAAACTCTTGCTAAAGGGCTTAAGCTGTCCAGTCTATGTGCGCCTCTGACAACACAGAGCTCACACTCATCTTCGTGATACCTTCAGCCAGATTGAAAATCCAGCCCAGAAAGTGTTTTTACCTACCCCAACAGGGGAAGTAGGTTGTGGGAACAACCTAAAAATAGTTTTAGAAGGTTCTATTTCTAGTTATTAGATATGGTTTTTTCAAACGGCAAAGGCACTTTTGACAGATGGAACCAAAAGGAACTTTTACAAACTTCTAAAAATAGGGAAGCCCATAATATACTGAATATATGTCATGCAATGTATGCATCTCGAGTTAACTCCTGTGGTTGCAAGTGTTAACATGCAGGCCCCCAGTCATTCGCTGCCAACCCTCCACAGCACCTGGCTGCTATGGCAGTGCCATGCCAGCTGCTTCTGCTGCCAAGAAAAGTAAATGGTAGCGGCGAAACCATGAGTTTGACCACAGCGTTGCCACTCCTCACATCAGGCCTCAGAAGAAAAGCCTTCAAATCACAGTATTTTGAATTTAAATGTAGTTGGGGAGAGGCAGGGTATTTGCTATCCTTTTCTTCTCTTCCTTTTAGGTCATTCAGGATGATGGTTTTTTACTTCTTCCCCATGAGGGAAGACTAAAACCACACTTTTTTTTAATGCAAGGTGTATATATACACGCCTGTGTGTGCTTAAACAAATGAGATTCCCCCATAATCTCAGCCTTCAGAGGCTCTTTGAGCAAACAAGATGTAAAGCTTAGCAAGACCACCACTACCCTTTCTGCACTCCTGTTCCTCAGAAAACCCACCAGTTCCATAGGTGACAAGTGGCCTGAAGGCAAGCCTCAGTAATGGAGACCCTCTGGACAGGGTCTCCTTTCCAAAACTCCTTTCCCAAACTTGACCCAAGAGCTCCAATTAACAGATTCCTTCTTTTTTTTTACTCTTTCCTAAACTTTTAATGCAACAAGCCTCCTTCACAAAATGTATCTATCAACTGCTGGCACAATTCCAGCCTCAATAAACCTTAGTCTAGAATTAGAGTAAAATTTTCAGAACTGGTTAAAGCATCACTGACAAGTCTTTCTGTGGATGTTTAATGGGACTCAAGCTCTAAAGTCACTAGTGCCATCCAAAAATCCTTCCTGACCGAGCTTATAGCATGCACCTTGCTAGGAGCATACCAGGATGGTGACGATGAAACATCAGATACAACTGGCACTCTGGACTGATACAATGCCATATTTAGGAAAAAAACAAAGCCGAAAAATCTTTAAAAGCACACCAGGAACTGAGAAGCTCAATTTTCAAAGTGCCTGAGAGGTTTAGGAGTACGCACATACCTGTCTAATAAGAGAACAGCCCTATCTGAGTACAAAAACACCTTCCAAACACCATGTTCTAGTTCAAAGTCTATTTTTGCAGCAGCTTTTTCACCCTTAAAAACCCAAGCTTGCTCCCAAAGCAAGGGGCTCCAATGAACATATTGACACCACTTCAACTATAGCATTGTGAACAGCACCACTAGAATACGTACGTATACATACTTGAAAGAAGAAAGGCCCCCTGAATTTATGTTGCATATAATTTTCCAGTAAAAGTCAGAGGTCAGAAGGTTACCAGTTTCTGCCTCAGCTCTGCAACAGTTTACTGTTCCAGGCCCCATTTTTACTAGGCTACACTTGCGATGAAGTCAGCAAATTTTCTTTAAACAATAAAGTGTCTCAAATACTTAAAATTCTATAAAGAGATGTTATTCACCATGTACGTTAGGTCCACATTAATTAAAAAATTAAAATATACTGATTTAGTTTAAAAACTGATCTTGTTAATTGCAGACTTTGCAATGCTAATCAGTACTGCTCAACTTTTTTTTGGACACACAATTCCTTTGTTGTCTAACAGCACTTGAATGAAACATGATCATAAAAACAGATTTTAAAGTATATACCTATTGTGAGTTCAGAGTCAACATCAATAAAGCACTCTCTTTTATATCCAGATTAAGGATCCTTTAAAAATTTTAATTGCATTAAATAAACACTAAATTCACTGTAGTTGGTCTCTTCAGAAAAAGTATGAAGCATTTAAACAGCTTCTCAGGAAAACCCAGAATTTTAGTTTTTTAGACTTGGGAGATTCTGAGATAGCACTAACTATTTGTAGTATGTCCCACTTCAATTGCACCAAACTTGTTTCATAGTCATGCTGCTAAATCAGTTACTCTGGCCTGGCACTCAAACAAACATTTTAGCATTCAAGTAAATTGGAATTGAGTAAAAAAAGTAAATAAAAGCACTGCTCAGGATTTCGTAAAATGGGCCAGCTAACATCTATTCTTTATATGCAGCATACTTTTGGTGGCATCTTTGAAATATTAGCATGCATTTCTGCAATCTTAATTACATTTTCTTTTGAAGATTTCATCTTTTAACTCATTTGAATGAGGAGAAAAAAAACCCAAACCCCTTCTCATTGCTTATTTTTATTAAGCATACTGCAAATTTGGTACATATGCTTCTTTAACATGTGCCTGCTGGCAGGGTCGAAGAAATAAAGATGTCAATCCTTTTACTAGGAGGAAATGGAAAAAAAAAAGTGTGGGAAAAAAAAAAGGAAGATAGACCTTTCTCAGCACAAACCCCTGAGTACCTGAGCACATTTCAACATTGGAAAGAGAGTAACCGGTCCCCGAGTGCATTGGTGACCACTTGTCAGTTAAGAAAGCATGAGGGCTCCGTTCCTACCTTGCTCACTGCTGTTGTCCCCGCTGTGCGATGTGTGTCCTCCGCTGGAGGGCCCAGGGGTTCCCCCAGAGCGCGTCGATGCCGTGTCATCATGGTCTCTGTTCCAGGAGGG